GGGATCCCACTTCGGATGAGAAGGCATGAATATTATTGCTGGCCCTGCTGCTTATGAGCTTCATGACTTTGAACAAATGACCATTTCTGACCTTGATTTTCTTATGTGTGAAACTGGGATAATAAAAACCTGGCTCTGCTCCTAGTATAAATTTCCTTGAAAGTTAATTTCTATGATAATGCTTGTGTAAGTGCGTTGGCTTATAGAATGCTTGACACGAATGTTAGGTAGTTATGCACTTAAAAGGAATTCTCTAGGAATTTCTGTTAGGTTATTCTTTGATATACTGATCTGAGTAAACTATATGTATCTGAAAGTAATAAAAATAATGTTGATTAAGTGGAATTAGATGATCTTTAGATTCCTCTCAACAATTTGAAATCTGCAAGAATAGGCAGTGAATAGGAAAGAAGATGTTGAAGCCAGAGGGTTCAAACCCTACCTCAAAACATTCTAGCGGGGGAGATCAGGCAAGATGGCAGAATAGGCAGAAAGACTGCACAGACCCTCTCCGAAAAAGAAAAGGGAAACCAATTAACACAGACACAGAAGATAATCCTGGACCCCTGAGCCTTGAAGGGAAGGATATACAAGTGGACTAAACCCCAACTAGCAGAAGAACTTGCATGAAAATACCTAAGGAGACAGACGGAGCTGCAGTCTGGGAGCAATCCTGAGCGATCCTGACGGCACAGACAGCTTGGAGATTCCCGACTGGTGGTAGGACCTACGAATTAAACTAAAAATCACCCTGCTAGCCAGGGACTGCATGCAGGACTGTGCACGGTGGCAGGGGATCAAACGGAGAAGGTGAAGAGAAAGGTGGACTGAGCTGTGGACTTTTGCCAGTCTGGAGGGTGGCACCATTTTGAAGGTTTAAAAGGCGGCTTGACTATTTTGGATATTTAAAGAGACAGTGCTATCACGGATTCCTGGGGCTTAAGAACAAGTTTTGCTTTTCAGCAACCCCAAGGACACTCGGGACCTGCAAGACTGAAAAGGTACGACATTCCTCTTGTTATTCTTGGTGAACGGAGGTGCAGCCATCCTCCACTCCCACCTACCTTCTGGGCCCACAGGAACTCCATCACAGTCTGTGTGCTCAGACGG